TATCTATCTATCTATCTATCTATCTATCTATCTATCTATCTATCTATCTATCTATCTATCTATCTATCTATCTATCTAGTCCTTTATCTACCTAACTACTCTCTCTCCCTATCTACCTACTGTATTTCTCTTTCTCTCCCTCTCTACCTGCCTACTTTTTTTAAAAAAATGCCTCTTCAAAATCTTGGTGTATCTTACACTCCGGTGCGACTTATACTCTGAAAAATATGGTAGGCGAAATGTGGCTCAAAAACTAACTCTAAAAGGGACCTTGAAGTCATACTGGATGATTATTTAAACATGAGTTGGCAGTGTGCAGCAACCAAAAAAGCTAATACAATCTTTGGTTGCATAGAATCAAAATCACGTGAAGTATTAGTACTGTTTTATAAAGCCTTAATAAAGGCCACACCTGGAATTCTGCATCCAGCATTACAAAACAGATGTTGAGACTTTTTTGGAAAAAGTGCAAAGAAGATGATTAAAGGCTTGGAGACTAAAACATGAATGGCTGTAGGATTTGGGTCTGGCTAGTTTAGAGAAAAGAACTGGGGAGAAATGATAGCAGCATTCCAGTATTTGAGAGACTGCCACAAAGAGGAGGAGGAGGTCAATTTCTTTTCCAAAGCCCCAGAGGGCAGGACAAGAAATGATGGATGGAAACTAATCAAGGAGAGAAGCTAGAATAACAGGAAATTTCCTAACAGGGAGGACAGAGATCCAGTGGAACAGCTTGCCTTTAGAAATTTGGGGCCTCATCACTGGATATTTTTAAGAAGAGACTGGACAGCCAGTTGAAATAGTCCATGGTCTCTTGCTTGAGTAGAGAGAGGTGTGGACTAAAAGACCTCCAAGGTCCCTTCCAGCTCTGTTCTATAATTTATTGCCTATGACTTACAAAGCAGAATAGCTGAACTCAACATGCAAACGGAAGGCTAAATTCTACTAGAAGAAAAGAGCTGGTACCTGGGTGTGTGATGGATGGCTTTTACATGGATAACAGCAAAGCTGTGGCTCCTTGCAAGAGACTGCAGGAAGCTGTTGGTAAGCCAGAGGCATCTCCTTGCCCTGCCAGGGCTGAGCCTCCACAGCCTGCACTGGGCTCACAATGCCTCGGGGTTGAGGGAATGAGCCCATCCTGCACCAGCCTGAGCTTGGTGCAGATTGAAGAATGGCAGGAAGTGCAGCACAATTGCAAGATTTTGTTGCTCTTCAATTTCAACAACCCTCGGAGTTGATTTCCTGGTCTGGTCTGGTCCACTTTGGGCCAAGGTGCACGGAGCCACTTCTCGCCATCCGGCTGCAGCCGCGCACCAAGGCCTGCAGGCAGAATGGAGTCACGGAAGATTGGCAGGCTGGTACCCCACTTTGGGTAGTTGGGCTGGCCAGGCAAATGAACTGGAGGAGCACAAGTACAGGTAGTCCTTGACTTATAGCACTTCATTTAGTGACCTTCAAAGTTAACAACAACCCTGAAAAAAGAAACTTAGAACTGTTCTTCAAACTTATGATTGTTGTGACAAACCCATGGCCACATGATCCCAATTCAGCCCCTTGGCAACTCTTTCATAGGATGGTCACAAGGTCCTGCGATCATGTGATCACCTTTTGTAACCTGACAAGCAACAGGAAAGCCGGGTTCATTTAACAACCTTGTTACTAACTTAACAACTGCATTGATTCACCCTAACCCTTAACTGTGGCAAGAAAGTTTGTAAAGTGGGGGAAACTAAACAACAAATTTTGGGCTCAGTTGACATAAGTCAAGGAATACCTGTATAAGATGCATACCGTATTTTTCAGACTATAAGACGCACCAAGATTTCAAAGAGGTAAGAAAAAAAAGTGTTTGTCCTCGCAAAAATGGCGTTTTTGCCTTTCCCCACCACCCAGGAGCATTCTACAGGCTTTAGTAGGATTAGAGGAAGGCAAAAAATGCCCCCGTTTTTGTGAGAAGTGGCCCATTTTTCGCCCATTTTTCACAAAAGTGGGATGCGGGGGCAGGGCTTCAGGAGGCCAAAAATAGCTGTATTCAGTGTATAATTCACCAACATTTCCATGCTCTTTGGGGGGGGGGAGGTGTGTCTTATACTCAGAAAAATACAGTACACACTAGCCATAAGTGACTAATGAGTGATTGCTGGGAGTCATCCAATTGAGATGGCCTCCTGCTCGCCCTCCATCCTTGTGTGCCCGCCAGAGACGAAATGGAAGAAGCTGCCGTTGCAAGCAGGAGAGGAAAGGAGCCGGCAAGGGATACCCAGCAGGCGGGTTCCAGCATGGGCTCTGACTGGATTTGCACCATAACTCTTCCAGCTGAGATAGAACCAATTTGGTTTAGTGGTGAAGGCACCACGCTAGGAATGGGCAGAGTGTGAATTCTAGTCTCTCCATGGGCACAAAGCCAGCAAGTGATTTGTGGCCAGCCCCCTTGGTCCTACAAAGGAGGCATGACGAGCCACTTCTCAAAAAGCAGGCTAAGAAAACTGCAGAGATTCATCTAGGAGTCAAAAAGCCAAAATCAAATCCTGGGATTACTTTGTGGGGTTTTAGCCTACCTGCCTCCAGGCTAAAGTGCAAGCACAGACGTTCTGTCAATTCATCTGAGATGATTAATAACACGACAAAGTTTGGTGCCAGGGCAGGGAAAAATATAGTTAAAGTGATGAAAGGGCTGCAGTCTAAATGCCACCAAAATAGAAACCCCCACCGCCCCTTGATGGATGGTGGCCTGCAATTCTGCTCCTGCTTGCTCAATGCTTTTTCTGCTCTGAATGGAAAGGAAGGTGACCATCCTGAAGGGCCTGGAGACCTTTGCAGGTTTTTCCCTGCAAAAG